CCCATCTAGTGGCAATTAATTGCACTGAAGAGCATATCCTTGGCATTGGTTAAATCTTTTCTTTAAAAACTGTAAAATTAACACATAAATTTTTTAGAACATCTGGACCTGGGATATGTTGGTGTAGTTACTTCTTTCAACTACAAAGACCGTTATGCCAGCTTCCCAGCATGGCAATGGACCGTTGTGTGCATGTTCAGAAAGGCAAGGAAAGAAAATTGACTTGCATTTTTTAATTATTTCAATTCTACTTTAAAATAAAGCTATGTTGCTAAAAACATTCAGCTTAATTTTACATATTTCCATCAATGTTAGTTATTCTCTAGACTGAGAAAAACAGCACGTAAAGTACAAATTTTTAAAAACTGCTGCTGAAGCTTTTAAATTGTTGTGGAAAGAGATTTTACAGCTTCTTCTTGTTAGAGCTGATGACAGTGCACTACCTGGTGATTTGTATCACGAGAGAAAAGAAACAGAGTGGTAAAACTGTGATATGATGTAGCAGTACCCTCGCGATTTTCAAGCAATCATATACAAATATTTGAAGAAAGAGCAGAAACTAAAGTCTTATTTAGCTTGAAACTCAGAGTATGTATTGACTATGTATAAATCAGTTTGGAGACTTTTAAAACGCTATCAGCCTTCTGTATGACTGAATTATAGGTGTATCTGTGACTACATATCTGCACGCTCTTACGTAAACAGGATTCACTGAGTCACCCTCTGCATCACTGATTAGCAGTGTCTGAAGTAAAGAAATAAGAGTGATGTTCTACAACCAGGCTTGACAGCGAAGTGCTCACAGCCCTGTTACTTAAGTTCAAGTACGGCACACCCACTAGTGATTAAACAACCAACGCACACCAGAAGAAAAAGACGATGGCATCAGCGCTGCTCTGGCAAAACAGACTCACTTCAGGTGACCAGATACATTTTTGAAGCCACGTATTTAGAAAATAAATGATCTAAATATCCTCAAACTTTAGAGTTTTAAATGATTCAGTTTCAGTGTTTTTTAGCATCGTGTATGTGTGATCATGTATTTACTGGTACAAAAGGTTCCAGAAAATGAGCAATGGCACATTTCAAATGAAATGTTACTCAGTTCCCTGCTGGTATGAGCTTGCTCAGTGCTGAAATAAATCTAGTGTTATGTCAATGGCTTTAACGCCATCAACTCACAACATACATAGGAGACCAGTTTTTCTGTATTTCTCTTTTTTGAGGTCGAGTTGTGCATCAATTACATGAGTTGAATTAACACTGGTTAGTAGCTCTGCTGGCATCTCTGGACCAGTCTAGACATTAACCTGTTGTTGTATTTGACCTCCTGCTGTGCGTTAAGGAAGTTCAGCACACTGAATAGAAGGCTCTGCTAAGTGAACAAGCTACAGACCCTGCTGCTCTCAACAGTTGTAATGATTCAACAGAACCAAATTCAAACACTATGCACCACAAAAGCAGAACAAAGCATGAAAACACAGAGCAGTTTGATATACTTGTACTGGTATCCAAGGAGAGCTCAGGGCCTATGACTTGATCCTTGAAGAACTTTGATAACCTCCTTGCCATCCGCAACCTCCCCACGCTTTCTTCGTCTCACTTAAAAGTTCTTTTGCTTATCTCATTTTTTCTATAACTTTCTATATAATGCCAACATTGTATGCTTACTGAAGTCACAGTAGCACAATCTTTTACATAATGTAAGGACTTCTGCACTTTGCCTACTATTCAGATCAGACTGCCAAGTCCTTCACATATTATGAACCATAAATCTGGACAAAATGTTCTACTATTTGTACTATGAATTGGCATGGTAACACAGAACAGAAAGGCCGTGAATGATAGGGCCTACTTCCCTGCCACTACGGAAAGCTCTGTTGTACAGCTGCCTCATAAATTTATCAAGTGCCATACTAAAAACAGGTATATTTTTGCTCCCACTGATTCCATGGAAAAGCTGTTTCAGAATTTGATTGCTGTAACGACTAGAAACATTCTTCTAATTTCCTGGCATATTTATTAATGAATAGTACATATCTGTTTGTTCTTCTGTCAACGTTGCCCTGCAAATTAAATGGTTTTCATCCTTCATGTTTACTTTCCTATTTATAGACAGCACTCATAACTCCTGTTTTTGTTTTATTGAAGTAAACATCCTAAAATCTGCATGAAAAGCTCTCAAGTACTCTAGTGATGTGCCCAACCTCCCTCTAATCCCTCTTTCAGTTTAACCTTAGCTCAGCTATAGAACTAATTAGAAATTTTCACAGTACCCCAAATGAGATTTCACCAGGGCCTTAAACAATTACATGGATACCTCCCTACTTTAAATGAAAATACATCTCCCGAGATACTCTCTGTACTTATGATGATTCCTGAGTATATATCATTACCAGATTTCATCAGTATGCTCTTACTGATTTTATCAGGGTTATTACAAAAAATATCAAATAAAACCATCCTAAAGCCAGCCCGTTAATCCTGGCATCTTCCTTTTCAACCTTATTTGTGGCTACCTGTTAGGGGGATTTGCAAGTTGGCTGGTATTAATATGGAAAATTTGAATTTTTCCAAAGCTTTGCATCAGATTGAGACCAGGATTTGGGGCTTGTGGTTGGACAAGTCACTTTTCAAAGATAAGCAATTACAGCCCAGGTTCAGCCCACCTAACTTCACAGAGCCTGGGATCCATGGGGAGTGATTCACAATGTGGCTTATCCTCTGGAGACACCTCACCACGAAATACAGAGGGAGTCTCAGCCAACAAGCCTCGCTGCAAGGACCCCTCTGATAAATGCCTCAGGTACAAGGCCAGACCCCCATTTGCTGTTTTCCAGCCAGCTTATAACATTCTTAACCGACCCGTTCAAAACACTTGCTGCTAGATTTCATGTATCACCTGTTTCAGAACTGTAGATGTAGTCCCCATGATCTGAAAGCATGACACGGAGTTTTGCATTTCTTGGCTGTTGTAATAATTTCTGTTCTGCTGTTCACATGATCCATCTTGCTTTTGTCCATGTGGCGAAATTACTTGGGCCCTGAGGAAAGACATACCTTGAAATTGGGGCATGTAACTTAGGCTCACTAGATGACAGTCACATTTATTCCTGCTTTCCCGTTTATATCACTGAAAAATCTTCTGCTATAAAAATTCTGTAAAAGTATGATACAAGCATGTCCAGTTGGTAGAAATTAGAAGTCTTTCTAGCTTAAATAGAGTATGTAGTTGATTAGTAAAACTAACATGGAACAGCAGAAGAAAGCAGGTGAATAACAGTAAACAGTCTGAAAAGGTTTTGAATGTATTTTTTCAGTACATGTAGGTTGAAAGAAAAGATACATAAAGGGGACTAAAGCCTTCTAAAAATACTACTAAAAACTCCCATAGAATATAACCCTTTAAGACCAAAAAAACCCCTCATTTTGTATGGTAGTATCTTGTAAAATTGGAGTATGTTATTATTTTATTCATTCATGCAGATCACCAAAAGCCATCAGGAAGAATCATTCTGAATGACAGCCACACTTCTGTACCTTCTTCTGAATAACCTAGTTGCAAAATAAAGTTTGCTTTTTTAAGTCAGAGACAGCAAGTGTGAGTCAGCTGAAAAGCAAAGGATTAGGAATTTGGATTTTTTATTCATTCTTCCCAGATTTCTTTTGAAAATATTTTTTTTTCTAGTTTACATGTAAAATTTTAGCAAATTGAAGGTTCCTTTGTCCTCATTAACTAATAACTACATAGAATAATATACAGGTAGGATTTTAAATGCAGGTATTGGCCTAACTTTTATAGTGTACCAAAAAAAAGGCAAAATTACAGCAAACATAGACCAAACAATAATATACAAAAGAATCTTAACTATGCAACTAATATTTTGCATATGTTTTTTTAAATGCAGTTTCCAAATCTGGTGTCCTAGGCCATGACGCAACTAAGAAATAAAACTAAAAACTACCAAAACCAAGTTTTCAATCTTAAAGTGTCACCAGACAACACTCATTTGTTGTGAAACATCCTGAATATTGCTTAAATGTTCTGTTGGGCCATTTAGCATGTATATGGTACACCACTGTTTTCTAAATTTTTTTTTTTTTATTATGTACCAGACAAAATTCATAGCCGAACTTATTTTTAGTATTAAATTACTGTAAATGGTAACGATTCTCCTCAGGTAGCTAACAACTGCAATTGAGAATGTATGACCTAGTGGAAAGGCTGTAAGAAGGCACAGAACACTTTTTCATTCAGATTTGTGCTTTTAAAAAACAAACAAACAAACAAACAAACCACTGAAAAGATGCTCATGCTGTCTGAAAAATCTCTACGAAATAAAGATTTGTTAAAGAACTAGCATGGGAGCATTTATTTTTCACCAATTTTCCTCTTCTGACCTTACTAGTGTCGTATTTACAAAATGATTTCTCATTTCTAACTATTTAAGAATTACAAAGCACTATAGTCCTATTAAAGCTATGTCCTTTCAACACGGTCATCCTTATCCTGAAAATCAGCGTCACTGAAGAGGCAAGTCCCAATTTCTTGAGGGAGAGCCCATGAACAGTATGACCAACGGGCTCTCAAGGGTCCGGCTGCGTCGGCAAAGCCAGCAGCGGATGCTGTATCTCAGCGGCACGGAGCTTCCAGGCAGAACACGCTGCCGGAGACTGCGGATCTTGCCTCAAAAACTTCGCAGCTCCCGCAGCCGAGGCCTCGTTCTCCCCTCACGCGTCCCCTCCCGCACCCGGGGCCCGCAGCGCCCCTCGGCTTGAGATGCTCGGGAGGGCTGGAGCGAGGAGCCGACACGCCGCGGCACACCAAGCCGGTGCCCCGCCGCGCCCCAGCAGCGCCACAACCCCTCGCGGCCGAGGGCGGGAAGGACCGCGCCTGCGCACAGCCCCGCCGCGGCGCGCCTGGCCCGGCCGGCCCGGCGGCAAGGTGGGAGCGGCGGCGGCTGCTCGCTTCCCTCGGCGCTCCCCCGGGGCCCGGGCCCGCCCGCCTACCCCGCGCCGCGCCTCAGGGGCTGCTGCTGCTCCCGCCGCAGCCCTCCCGCTGCCGCCGCAGGCCTGGCCCCGGGCGGCGGCGGCGGCTCCCGCCATGGTGCGGTGCGGAGGGGCGGTGCTGCGGAAGGTCAGTACGGCCGGCCCGGGGAGGGGTGGGGATGGGACTCGGGCGGCGGGGAGGGCTAGCGGGGAGCCGCGGCTCCGCTCTCGGCCCCGCGGCCTCTCGGCGGGCGGGCTGGCGGGTCGCTGCCTTCCTCGGGCTGACCCCGGCCCGCGAGGGGCCCCGCGCTCCCCAGGCACAGTCCGAGCGCAGCGGGCTCTTCGCAGCAGGCCCGTACGTGCTGGGGCGGGGGCAGGCGCCGCGGCGGTGCCACTCGTGTCTCCGTGGGCGCCGGGGCCCGGCGCACTGGTAGGGCCGCGTCCAGTCCCTCTGCCTGGGGCTCTGCGGGCCGGGCGGGCCGGCCGTGAGGTACCGCTGCCGGGAAAATAATGCCAACATTTCCCTTAGTAAAAAATACCTGAGAGAGTCGTGTGTCTGTGTTCTGTGGGTTCGTTGTTGCCATCAGATAAAAGTTCTCACCAGACAGTCTTAGCCACGTAGTTTCTGATGACTACCGAATGAATGATCAACAGTGTAATACTGATATGAAACTTGTTGTTTTGTTAGTATGGCAACTTTATAGATGATGTACGGCTTTATGTGAGAGGAGGAGCTGGTGGAATGGGTTATCCTCGTCTAGGTGGGGAAGGAGGGAGAGGTGGAGATGTCTGGTTTGTTGCCCAAGAAAGAATTACTTTAAAGAGCATAAAGGACAGATATCCCCGGAAACGATTTGTAGCTGGAACAGGAGCCAACAGCAGGTAAGAGTCTGATGAAAATTGTTATATACATCTTTTCCAGAAAGCAGAATGTCTAAGTTGCTAAGCCTGGTTTAATTTTTCCCAGTGTTAAAGCACTAAAAGGTGAAAAAGGAAAAGACTGTGAAGTTCATGTGCCTCTGGGAATTTCAGTTCTTTGTGATAATGGCAAGCAGATTGGTAAGAACTTTTGCTTTGTTTTAATGTATATTGCAGATACTGTCATATTTCTTGATGGCATCTAGCAGACTTCTAACACTAGAGTGCTCTAAGGTCACATATCTACCAAAATATGTATGTCTGTTCCATTGTTTGGACAAAGAGTTGACAAAAAATATACTGTAGAAGTTGTTAGAAAAGCAAGGACCCCTTCCAGAAATTAGCAATAGTCAGTTCATATCACTGTATGTAGCGGGAAGAAAATTGCACTTGCACACAAGTGTTAAAAACTGTAAGCCATACCAATCCTCTACGGAATCATTACTAACCTTATATAAATTGTGTCCATAAACTCAGGTAAGTGTCCCTCTAACTTTACTGAATTATGACATTGCATAAAAAAGATCCTTGCTGAGTGTCAGCGTTACAGGTTATCTAAAATACTTATCCATTTTTTACTCTTTTTGAAAGATGGTACTTTGTAGTAACCAGGAAGGTCTCTTTTAATACAGTGCTCTTGGAATATCTTTCTGTGGTTCCTTTCCAGTTTCTCAAGAGCTTTTTTCCTCATACTGTTAAGAGTTCGAACTAAATTCATAAATTACTCTGATCTGGATGTTTAACAAAATTGGATGTATGGCAAGAACTGTTTATGATGTAGGCTTGTCAGTGTCTAAAGATATCCTTCAATTACATACTCTGATGTTACATTTTTATTTATTTTAATTATTCTAACATTCTAACCCTAAGGGTGATATTATAGCCTGCATCTTAATGAAAAAATATGGAAGATCTGAAGAGTTTGCTGTAGCCACATCTCTATCAATGCAGATTTTTCCTTGCATTCTTGAAGTATGGAAGGCTTCAGAACTACTGCCATCTTGGCCATACTTTGGTTGCCTGCACTTAGCACTTTTCTTGAAGTGACTAACTATATGACAGAGAGCAGTACTGTGGTGTGATGGCTCTCAAGTGTTTCCAAAGAAGGAAAAATACCATGACCATGAGTGCACAGCTCTTGCAATAAAGCATACAGAAAATTTTTTCTTTGTTGAAGATAGATTTAAGTGGAAAATCATAACTGAAGTACTGCAGGGGATTGTGCTTTTTCACTAGTGAATTTATTTTCAGGAGAGCTTAATGCACCAGGAGAGAGATTCTTAGCAGCTCGCGGAGGTCTTGGAGGCTCTTTGGCCACAAACTTCGTGCCTTTCAAAGGTCAGAAGCGCATTGTTCGTCTTGATTTGAAACTTATAGCAGATGTTGGCTTAGTTGGGTAAGTATTGTAGTTTGAGAACTGACATTAGAAAACAAAGTAGTAACTTTCAAATAGGACTTCAAAGAAATTCGAGATTTTGGAAGGTGACCGTTACTGTATGTTTGCATTACCACTTAAATTACTTGTGGTTTGCAAATCACACAGAGTTTAAACCTATTGAAATTAATTTTAAAATTTGGAAAGTATTGGTTATGCTTTTGTGGCTGAAGGGCTTCATGAATCAAGGTAATATGTAGTTATTGATAAAATAATTTAGCAATTGCAGTGTTTATAAAAATACTATTAGCTAATGTTTATGAAGTAAGTAGGAGGTGCAAAACAGAGCCAAGACCACTACCTGTATTGCATCTTCAACTTTATGGTACTGGTACAAACAGATCCTTTCAGTAGTAGTTTTAAAGAGAGTTTCAAAGGCTATGTAGCCTACTCTCCCAAATAAACAGCTTGGAACACTGAAAGGAAGGGATTACACACTGGAACAGTAGGGCTTGCATTTTGTTTGCTCTGGTACTTTTCAATGTTGCTGCTTTATAACAGTGCACAGAAATATATATTTTACTTGGAGGAAGCTTTCAACAAACTACAATTGTAAAAGTATTGGTCTACTCAGCATCTACTATCCCCCCTCCCCACCTATGTTCCTTATTAATAAAAAAAAGCATAGGAAATGTAAAATGACAACAGGTATGAGGTGAAAATAGTCTAATTGGTATATACCATTAAAGAATGGAAACTTGAAGACAGAATGGTTTTCTACCTACATTTTTATTTTTTTGCTTATTAGGAATAGTTCTGTTAATACCAGATTTATTTAAAGTTATATAATTTTCAAGTGGTCTTCAGTAATTACACAACAGAGATTTTTTTCTCTTGTTTTAGAGTGCGTGAAAATACAAAAGTTTTGTGACACCAGTGTTTCTTTAATCTTGTGTTTTGGCTTGTATTTTAGCTGACGATTTCTCTTTAAAATGGATAAAAAGAATATCAATTAATTACAGGAGTATATTATTTTCTTGTTGAGAGTATGAATCAGCCTCTGATAGTTTGTGGTTGTACTTTGATCTCTTTCTGTTTGTTATTCTTACTTCAGTAGATTTGCAAGTGGTTTGCTGTTAGATCAGGTAAAAAACATATAGACTTGAGAAGGGCCCATCAGGTTTGGGCACAGGTTGTGATGTGTAGTGCAGGTTGCAATTTAAACTTCAAAGAGCATATTGTACCTCAGTGGAAACAAAATACTCACTTGAGGAGATGGCCAGAGTAACCTTCCAGGATGTCTTTAAAGCACCTTGCAACATCAGAGAGCATTAAAACTACCCTCAGTAGTTTTCCTGTTATAACAAGAGTCATATTTTAAGAAAGCCTCATATATGTGTATTAAGAAAGCCCCTCAATGTAATGCTAGTCTTGTTTTTCATTAGCTCATGTTCTTATTAGTTGTCCCTGTTAACAGGTCATGATTCTGCATGTATTCAAGTAGAGAGTAGATGGTTTTGTGTGACACATGCCTTTGTATCTTGTGACCAATATTCTGTTGCCCGTAGGCACAGTTTTCTTTGATCACTGTTGCACTGAAACGTTGTGCTGAATAACTGTTTTATATACATACATAACTGAAAAACTGTGAATTTGACTGGAACACAAGTTTTGTGTGGTCTCCCATATGGAGCAGGTGCTATGAGTAAGAACTATAGTCCATCGTCTGATGTCCTCATTAGCTTCAAGTTTGACATGGATCAAGGCTACTGTTTCTTACAGCTCAGATTAATCTTTAAAATAAGCGTGTGTTATAATTTTCAGTTTCAGTTAAGGTTTCCCTTTCAGTGGGTAAATGTATTCTGTGAAGAATTTTTTGTAAAAGCTACCATATCCCATAAGGAACATTTTTGTTGTAGTATGCAGGTATGTCTATCTCTTGTAAAGGGAAAAGGTTACAAGAGTCAGGTCTGCACAGATGAGCTCCTAGGGCTTCACTGGTATTTTTGGTTTATTTGATAACAAAGCAGGTCAGTCCTAATTGCAGGATCCCTCATACAACTTTGTTGCCTTAAAAACACACAAACTGTGAATGTGTGTCTCATACACGAAGTCTCTCTTTCACTCTTCCCTTCATATATATGTACATACAGAGTTTATATGTGCTTTGCTACATTATCTAAACGGTAGCATAAATATCATTAGTACTTCAATTATAAAATGTTTCATAAACCATGATTTGTATACCAAAAGACTGTAGAATTCCACTGATAAGATGTATTTGCATGACAGGTGTTTAGAATGTAAATGCAATTTACAAAATTAACTATAGCATCTGAATACTGAATTCAAGTACACCTGTATGCTTATGCTGTATTTCTGTCTGAGCGACGTTGAAAGATTTCCCTTACATCTATTACAGGTGTATTTACATACCTCTTCTGCCTGCATCTTTGGGAAGCACTGTTGGATTTAGAAAAATTATTCTGATTGGATTTAAAAAAAAAATCATAATCTGGGTTTTGTTGTTTTTTGTTTTGTTTTGTTTTTTTTAAAAGTCTGAGTAAATGAGTCTGCAGAAATTAGTTGATAGCATTGAGTTTGACTAAGGTAATACAGTGTATTTGGTAAGAAAATACACAGACATCACATATGTGTTTAATCCCTGTATGAATCCTGACTTTCCGTCTAGGTTTCCAAATGCAGGCAAATCATCCTTGTTAAGCAAGATTTCTCATGCCAAACCCGAGATTGCGAATTATGCGTGTAAGTTCATACTCTTTATTTTTAAAGCAGTAATACTTCATGAGAGCAAGAAGTCTTTTCTCTGACTTGGTTTACAGGTTTATAATAAAGAACAGGGGATAACCGTGTTGCCTGCTAAATACATTAAACAGATTTTTAATTATAAGAAATACTTCAAAGAGAGAACTTGCTGTTTCGGTCTCCAGTTCCCTTTAACCACCTCAGTTTTTCATGCGTGCACCTTCATAGTGCTTCAACCTGTTGATAGAAGGTCTATTTATCATTTATTTTAGTCTCAGCTGATTTTATTGTATCTGAGACTCTCCATGGTGTGTAATATCCTCAGTCTGATGAATGTGCACCAACAAATTTCTTTGCATAAACATCTTTACACTTTGGAAATAGCTACCACCTCTTCTTGCAACAGAGTAAGATTTTGGTTTTTAATCTGTCCATTGAAAAATGCCATTTTTATTAATTTTCTATCTGTAAATTAGGAATAGCCATCTGATCATGCTTTAATTAAAAAGCAAGAGTACAAGTATTGATAATTCCTGATGACCTTCTTGCACCACTCCTGATTCTCTACAGCTTTTTTCCATAGTCTGCAGAATTCTGTCTGTGTCTGAGACTTCTCTAGCTCCTCTGTTCCCGTTTTGGGATAACGGGAACAGAACGACACACAGTATTGAGAACTGGTGAACCACTGGTTTTCCGAGTGGTCTAATTTTTTCTCTCATTTTGCTTTTTCTTTATTCTTTTTTCAGTAATTCTTAACATCTCATTTGCATTATTTTTTTCTGCTGCGGAACATTTATTTAAATATGCAGTGAGAAAGCCCTGCAACATTTGAATATTTTGTAACATTAATATTTTTTAAAATGTTAAAAACAATTTTGTTTTATTCCTCTCCTCTGTTTTTTCCCTTGTTATAGTTACAACAGTACAGCCTGAACTAGGAAAGATCATGTATGCAGATTACAAGCAGGTGGGTATGAAAGTTCATTCTGGTTGTTTGTTAAAGTTGTATCTAATAGTTATGTTGCTTAACATAATTTCAGAAGGAAAAAGGAAACTTACCATTTTTTTCATGTGTGTACATATAAAATACATGTGTTACAGTCACATGGAGTTAATGAAAGTTGTGGAGAAAGCACTGTTTTTTAAAGTAATGAGAGCTTTATAGCCAAATGCAGTAATATGACATTGAGCTGATTTCAAGTCACATTAATAAATGGCTTCTCATTTCTCCTTGTCTCTTTTCTGTTTCTCATGCTGCTTTATAATCTTAGAGTTGTGACCTCCTGTGTGGAATTGAGATTGCTGTGTCCTAGCATACTCTGGTTAAGTTTAGGAATTTTTTTTAAAAAATCATTGTTTCAGAGACTAATGTATTATTTTTATTTAGATGAAGCAAATTTTCTGTAAGTTGGCTACACAGAGAGCTCTGGAATGAATAAGTCATTTTCAGAATAGATTTTAAATGGGCAAATTTGTCCAGTAGCTGCAGATCTGCGGTAGTGAATGATAGGGAATTTAGTGAATATAACCCGGTTACCATAACTTGCTCTACTGGCTTTCTAGGTTGGCTACTCTGACTTCCTTTTGTGGTTTGTTTTTTGTATTGTTTGTTTGGTTTGGGTTTTTGTTTTTGGTTTGGGTTTTTTTTTTTTTTTTAAGTGATAGTGATTGCCTGAACAGCCAGGATGGTGTACTACCTGAGAGATGAAGTAACCGGGACCAGTTCCTTTTGTGGTAGGCAGTAGCTCTGGAGGACTGGTGGAGCTACTGCCCTACCACCTTAATTTTTGTGAACACAATTCCACCCTGCTTCTTCAGATGTAGTTTTCAGATAATTGTGTGGTGCCTGAAATCCTTTCTACAGTATCCACTGGGAGGAAAACCAGCGCTAAATGAGACCCTTACTAACTAATAGATTTTGGACTCCCAAGTTCATGCAAGGTTACAGCAAACATTTTGATTCCTCAAGCTTGAATCTTCTTTGATGTGCTTCTATTTTGTTTTTTAAGTGCATGATGTACATGCAGTACCAGACTCATCACTTCCAAGATAAAAGGCAAACACATAAAAGGGTTTCAGATGAGTTAACCAGAAAAGCATCCCTCTCAGATGTGAAAAAACAGAAGACTCCTTTTCACTTTCAGAAGCAATAATCTCAGGGGGATTCAGTAGCTGATGCTTGAAATCTTCATTTAACAATCATAAATAGACCTATGTATTAAAGGAAGTAAGTCTAGTTTGTCAGGTTCCCTGTAGAGATGTACACATCTAAGATCTAAGGGAAATTTTTTGTATATTCATTTTATATGCTAGTTTAGGGTAACTTACCCTAGAAAATTGTGCTGCAAATCACAGGATTATTTATAGCCTTTTAAAAAATCTACCTACTTGCCATGAATCAGGATCTCTTTCTCTTACTGGTGTATCTATCTCCCGCAGGAGAACTGTTTGCACTCCTGGCTTTCTTTTCTGTAGTCTATTTCATGTCATAGCTAATAACCCTTATTGTTGGCTGTTTCTTCAGTTCATGGATTTTATACTACAGTGTAGGGTGCTATATAGGAACTATATGGACAAATTATCTATTTTCTAAAATCAAGGGAACTAGTGATTGTAATCACAGTGAGCATGTGTAAGAGGAAGTACTTCAGCTCTCAGTATTGCAACTGCCAAGAACAAAACAGTGTAAGCAATTAAGAGCAATAATTGAGGTGACTGTCGTATATCACTTAAGGGAGACTGGCTCATTTTGTCTCTTTTTTTGTTTTTTTCCTACAGAACATTGATGTTTTTAAGGAAATACGTAGCAATTTGCATATTTTATCATAGTACATTATAAAGAAGAAAATACATGCAAGTTACCTGTGTTGTTGTGTCATTACTACTTGAAAAAGGAAAGACATAAAAGTAGAGGATCTGAGTATGAGTTGGGCTTGAGGTCTTAGTATCAGATCATGGAAACTAGCAGAAGCATTTACATTTTCTACCAGAATATCTGAACCAAGTGCTGTTTTCAGAGAATACGAGTTTCTTTGAGCTCCATAAAAAATATTATTTGAAAGAGAACTAAAGTTGGGGAAGACGGTGGTGATGATGGTACTACAGCACCCAAATGCATCACAGTAGGAAGTGGATGTTTCTGTTCTAGCTCTCTAGTTATTCTCTCCCTGATTCAGTTATTGTCTCCCTGTTTCTAGTTACAAGTCCATGGTTCATCCAGCTGTATTTCATGTCTCTATAGATGGAAAATTCCAAAGCAAGGCTTCAAATATTTAGAAAATGCATAATGGTTAAAAGTTAGTGTGACACACGAGTAGCAGTGTAACTCACTCATAGCAGAAAGCCCCCTTCTGCAGTAGGTATCATACTGGAAATTTTATTGTGTGCTAGCTTTGGGCATTGTTTAATTGAATCCAGTTGCTGGCTAAATAGAATAATTGAAGACCCTACTTTTGCACTTCTTTGCTTCACTGTCCATCTTAGCTTTCTGTGAGTCACTGAGTAGATATTTGGGGTTTTTAGTATTCTGCTCTTTTTCAGTCCGTCTCAGCTCTCCTTTACAACTGTGTACAACCCTCTCAACCAGCAGAGAAAACAACAGGATTCCTGTCCATTGTGGCAGTCTTTGGGCTCTCGTTGGAAGCTGATACACTAATAAAAATCTCATTTCAGTTGAAGAGCAGAAAACAAATTCTTGGAGCTTCTCAGGCTCAAGGGAACAGTGTTAAGTGGCTTTGCATTTGGAATAATGATCCTGTGTAGCCACAACGAACAGACTTTATTTTCCTTTCCAGTGACAGTTTGAATTCTGTACAAGCTTGATAGCCTAATCTTCTTGCTGTCAGAGTCTGTTTTATTTTCAGGTAATAGGTAAATTTTGCAAGATCTCTGCTGACGTATTATTACCTTCTATTTTCTACTTACAGACAGCTATAAATAAGCAGACAGGGGAACATGAGCAGCACAGTGTCTGTGTAATAGTAGCATTTTGTTTAAATCTGCTTCTGATGATAGGTTATCAATGTATTGAATCAGCCAGTGCATACTGCCAGAGAACTGATCCCCGACACAATTCCAAGCAATACACACAGTTTGTAAAAGGAAGCTCTCACAACAGATATTCCTAACGTTCTTTTGTCTCAATTATTTTGTTTATATAAAATTACTGTAGGTGTTGATGGTTTAAGATCACCTTTCGTGCTTGTTGGAAATCTTGTTTGAAACTTTTGTTTTCCTAGATTTCAGTAGCCGATCTCCCAGGACTGATTGAAGGCGCACATGCAAACAAAGGGTTGGGACACAAATTTCTGAAACATGTAGAAAGAACCAAACAGCTTCTCTTAGTTGTAAGTTAAATAAAATTTATAGCTTATTGAAATCAAAGGCAGTGCAGTAAATAAAATGCGTCTTAATTTCAGTGTGGTTGGAGTTTAGGAAATCATTTGTAATTTGCATGTTTTATGATAAATAACAGCTGTAATACTGTTTTCAGAATGGAATGTTCAAATGCCTGATGATAAATTAAGTCCTTAAATAGAGGTTATCATTAAAATTTGCCACTTAATTTAGAGCAGATAAGCGTTCCAAGCATAATTAAAGCATGGGGCATTTTTTTTTTTTTTCTGTGAAATCCCCTTAAAAAAGAGGTTTAAAAATCAGACCTTTGAGAAACACTCTATCAGAACCAACCAGTTTGTGCTTCCAGTGTCTATGGTGTTACTTTGGTGTATAGTTGCCCTCTGTTATTTGCCCGGGAATGAGAGCATGTGCATGGACATTTTACTGCAAAGTAGTTGATGGAGGGTACCTTGATACTGCAACATAATTTACTACCACAAAACTTATGTTTGTATAACTTTTTCAGGTTGATATTTCTGGCTTTCAACTGTCTATTAACACTCAGTTCAGAACGGCCTTTGAAACTATATTGCTTCTAACAAAGGTAAGTTCTCATATTCAAAACTGACAGTTGTAGTTATGTGTTGAGCCAAGAAAGAGGCTCAGTTTTGGTTGAGAACTTTCAAATGTTAGTGTGTCTTCTGGATTTATAATATAAGGCCAGTTAACAAGCTTGGGGTTCTCATAAATAATTAAATCTTTATTTTTAACTGTCCAGGTGAAACTGCTCTACTTTATGTTGGGCACAGCTGTTCCTTGGTTAATCTAGGATATTTCTTACAGTCAAGCAAAGGTGAAAAAACACATCATTTTCAGTTCCCCAGACTTGTAGTCTTCTAGGAAGTAGAAATACATGGGTATAGTTAAATCCCTGCCTTCATACCCTTACTGCATAGCCTAATGGAGATGAAAAATCAGGCTTCAGCTTTGCAAACACTCAGTGTTTCCAACTTTTACCATTGGTTCTAGTTTAAAGTAATACATTCTATGTGATTTGAGGTTTAGCAGCTGTTCTCTATCTAGCTGTACAACTGAAGATGATGAATCTTCTGAATTTCAGCTATTGCTGCTTAATTTTAGCTGATTCATGGATGTGATTTTATTTCTGATGTTAACCATAGTCCATTAAAATGCTTAAGAATCAGAAAACTCTTCAGAGAATTTACTTACATGTTTTATAGATCTGAACTTTTTCTGAAATTGATTTTGTTTCTGGATATCAGAAAAACAAAATGAAAACTGTCATTCTTTTTATAGGAGGCTGTTTCAGAATCATCCAGCCTGTTTACCTGAAATATCTGTTTGAATAAAAAAATCACTGAATCACTGAACATTATCCTCTTCTGTCAGACTGCTTTAATACACCAACGTTGAGCACCTGAGTATATCTCACAGCTGTCTAGGCGTGAAAGACTAAGTAATTAAACAAATGAGAGAGTAGATATAAAATTGAAGTAGCAGTTTTTAAACTACAAATACTTATTAAGGCAAATTTACTTGTCTTTTAAGGAACTGGAGCTGTACAAAGAGGAACTTCTAACAAAACCTGCACTTCTTGCCATTAATAAAATGGATTTGCCTTGTGCAAAGGATAACTTGAATGAACTTATGAAACAGTTACAGAATCCTCAAGGTAAATTAACTTTTGACAATTACCTTTGACAAAAGTAGTAATAAGATTTCATCACAGTAACTGTGTTGACAAGGAGTTGTTTGAAACTGAATTCAGCTATTAAATTTATTATTTGAACATATGTTTTAAAACCACTTTCTGCATTTAGATCTCTGTTTATGTGCATTTGTAGTGCTGGCTTCACTGTTGAGGAAGGATTTTAATAAAATAGAGATATCGGAGAAGATCTTTTCCAGCTGTCATGTGGGAGAGTAAATTTCCAGTCTAGGTATCTCGGATAACATTAATTTATGTTGAAGGTCCCCTTACAGACACTGCTGTATATACAATTTATCATGTGACTTTGATCAAAGGCCAAAACACATAAAAATTCTGGACAGTCTTATGTAAGTTTACTTCAATTTTGCTGTTACATTGGGCTGAATTTCTTCTTATTTCCTGGAGTGTATACAAACCAGGAATGCTTAAAACCATCCATTTCCTGTATTCTATAATTTGAGATTTCTTTGTACTCATCTTGAAGGAAAGGTATAGAATATTCTCATGACAGCTTAAGTATGGTATAACTGGTATATTAGTACTTGTCTTCTGAGGCTTTAGCTATTTTTTAAAATAATAATTCATCAAATAATACTTCTGCATTGCAGTTATATTTTAGTGTAATTTGTTAAAGTTTATTTTCTAAGTTTAAGGGGATTTTATAGGCTTTTTAGTGATACAATATTTGGCGATTGTACTAACTTTGTGAATGTGATTTTTCAGACTTCTTACACTCACTACAGGAAGAAAGGATTCCTGCAAAAAGACTTGAATTCAAAGATCTAATTCCTATATCTACATATACTGGAGAAGGAATTGAGGAACTAAAAGAATGTATAAGAAAATCCATAGATGAAGAAGCAGAGCAGGAGAATGAAGAATATCGGAAAAAGAAACTACTACTTTTACAAACTTCAGAAGAACAAATAAGCAGAAGCTAGCATTCTTGGCTGAATCCAATGTATTTTAATATTTTTAGTATGTACATGAACCCATTGCTATGCAGACCTCCCATTTAATTTTTGTTCCCTCTACCACTACTGCCCAGTTCTCTGCTCCCTCACTTTGTCTTAATTTCTTCTGGCAATAGGGTAGATCACAGTGGGGAAAATAAAATGTTTTTTCTGATTTTATGTTGGTTACCAACTCAACAGGGTAAGGACAACAGTATGTGCAACTCAAAGCACTGATTAACACCTGATGATCCCTGGAATATTTTTTGCCAGATGAGATGAATAGAAGGAATATAATCTGCCAAGGAGTAAGTTCAACCACTCTACATCTTCTGCAGTGGACATCAGAAACTCGGAGGGAAATTTCTGATGGAGCAATTTTCTAGGGTTTAGTGCTTCTAAGGTGAACCAGTTCTGCTACCTGGACAGGCATCAGATTGTGGGGTTTTTCTTATTTTAAAGATTTAAAGAAAAACACAAATAAATGGCTGCAAGGAAGTGACTTACAGGAGCACAGAAAACCAAGGCTGTTGTGTAATGTTGGGGTGTTTTTCACACCTGCTGGTGCCTACTTGTAGTCCTCTCGATTGCATAAATCCTGATTCCAGATTCCCAGACTTAATGTGAGATTCCCTCCTTTTATGGAGTCGTGGGTATGTGTTACTTTTTGGTGAAGATAATGATGACTGCTTTTCAACAGAGCTGTATGTTTTGAGGAATAGTTAATGTTCTGGGTTTTGTATTTCAAGCAGACATATTTACATTTTACTTAAAAAAAAAAAAATGTAGAAGTCCTTTATTGTACAGGGACTTTTCTACTTCAAAGCTATTAAATCAGTTGCAAAGCAAAATGAGACTGAATACATCAAAGGCTTCTCATCCTGGTCTGGTTGTGCTTTGTAAGTATACTTATCAAACCCTACTTGTCTAGTTTTGTTAAAGCAGTCACTGGGAAGAAGGGTATGATTTCTCAAAATACAATTCTTTTATCATTAGTACTAATTCTCATTCTGATTTTCCTCTAATTTTACTGTGTTTGGGGCTAACATGTTTTCACCAAAGCTAAGTCTGAGCTGTCATCAATTTTTGCTGCTCCATTTATTTCATAGTAGAAAATAACTTTTTTTTTTTTTGCTTAGACTTCTTGAATGCAGTCTTAATCTCACACAGATGGAGGGGGGGAAGTTTGAAACAAGAGCCAGTTTGGCTTTATTTCAGCTGTGTAGGGAGAGTTACACAAGCTGCAGCGTTGAAGGGAGGAGTGAGAGTGACACCGAGCCTGCCTGGCGAGCTGCAGCCTAGTCCTGGCCTGAGCACGTCTGGGGGCTTGGCCCAGGCCAGCTGCTCGGCCACCCACCTGGGCGGGAGAATCGGAAGAGAAAAAGCGAGGTAACTTGCGGGTTAATCAGTGAAGGGAAGAATAAAGAAAACAAAAAAGGATGAAAAAGCATCCACTCCTCACCTCCCCGGACTGCTGAATGGCTACTTTGAGGGGTAGCCGCCGGTTCCGCTAATCAACCAGCTGACGGGTTTGAGGAATGTGTTCCGAAACACCGGTTTCTCCGGCCGCGGGGCTGCCTGCGAATCGCAGTTCCCCCCAAACGCGGGCACGGCCGGCTCGTCCCCGCGGACCGGGCGTGGAGGCCCAGAGGGAGCCGGCGCGGCCCCGCCTTGCGGCCCGGGGGCCGCGCCGCTGGGGACGCCGGGAGTTGTAGTGCGTGGGGTGGGAGCTCGGGGCTGGCACTGCGGCGGCGCTGGACTACAACCCCAGAAGCCTCTGGGCGCCCCGCCGCTGCCGCGGCCTCCCGGGAGCCGGGGAGGAGAGAGGCGGCTCCGGCGGGCGGAGGCCGGGCGGCGCGGCGGCGATGGTGCCTTCTCCGTGTGCCCCCGCGCCCTGACGGGAAGGTGAGCGGCGAGAGAGGGAGTGAGCGTGGACGAGGCCCCGACTCCGGCTGTGGCTCTGTCCCAGCGGCGCCCCGGGGGAAGCTGCCCGCGGCCGCCTGGCCGTGAGGGGGGCTGGCGGCCTGGCGCGCGGCCGCTGAGGGGGCGGTGCGCGGGGGCTGCCCGCTCCGCCCGCCGCCGGTAGGCACAGGGTGAGGACGGCGGGGGGGAGAGTGGAACAGGCGGTTTCTGCGGCCCTTCCCGGTTTGTCCCCGCAAGTCTGGCTTCGCAGCCCGACAGGTTTCGTGCGCGGCGGCTGGGAGGGAGCGGGCTCCTGCGAGCCGGGGCCGGCGGCGCCCGGCAGCTGCCCAGCGCCTCGGCGGGGGGCGGGTGATTTCCGCTCCGGCCGCGGCTTTGCGCCATCTGTTGTTTTGTTTTTGTTTTTTTTTTTCCAAATCGGTTGGTAAAATAATCACAAGTTTTTGTTGGTAATCCTAAAGTATTAGCTAGGAATGTTAATTCTAATCCTGTACAGCTGGATTTAATTGTAATAGGAGTTTTGGAAACCTTGAAACTGTGTGATTGGTTTCTAGAAGAGAAACATTAACTGGTGGCACTGATTCTGTGTCAGTTACTTCTGATTATCTTGAAACAGGATAGCTGTTGGCCTCCAGTTTCTGGTGGTCAGTTATCCAAAACTCGTAATAATAATTGTTTTAAACTGATAATACTGTTGTAGATAGTTAGCGAATGCTTTTGTTTATAAATTGTACTTTCTGTGACCTGCCACCTGCAGGGCTTTATAGAACAGTGGCTGTTTCCAGACCATTGCCTTCTCAAGACTATGCAAGGGAACAGAGCTGGCTTTACTCATTGCTGAATTGTGTCTCTAGTAAATGCTTTTTTTTTTTTTTTATTTCTTCATTTTTCTTTAGCTTGTGGGCAGTTTATAGTGTAACAGTTTTTAACCAGCTTTGGCCAGCATCTCTTGTTATGGCAACATGGATCTTTAGAATAGAAGCCATGGTAAAATCTGTCCCTGAAGTGGTATTAGGACTGGTAACTTTTGTGGATCGAATATAAGAGGCTGGAGTATTACAGCTGTAAAATGCTTGGAGTGTAAGAAGCTTGAGTCTAGAATCTCAGGCAAGACAGGGTTTCACCTATCCTGGCCAAAGTGTGGTTGGACTGCTTCCCTTTGACAGCCAGGTCAGAAGTGACCGAGGTCCCTGGTTGTTAACCACCACTAGTGATAGAGAATTAAATCAGACGGGCTAAACAGATAGAGGAAAAGAAACTTCATGTCTGCAGAAATGGAGGGTTTTCTGAGTTGGACACTGTAGAAAATTCTATACCTGCTCTGTATCTGTTTATTACAACAGCTGGTGGCCACAGGTTTTCATCATTGAATGGGAGGGACTCCTGGGCTGGGCACAGCTCCCTTTATGACAGGTTTGTTTGCCAGTACTAATTTTCTACTTAATTATGGTTGTTACTGAGCACTGGCTGGTATTTTGGGGTGTGAACCTTCAGAGGGAGATCTATATGTTTATCTTGGCTTCAGTTGCTGATAAATGCACAGAAAGCTTGAAAATTGCTCAGAAATGTTAGTGAATAAAAAGCAGCTGCTCCAAGCTCTGCAGCAATACTTTTATTTTTTGAAATCCAAACTATAAAAAAAAAAAAAAAAAAAAAAAGCTGGTGCTTCTCCAAATGCTATTGAACATGTTGATACTGACCTCTGCAGCCCTGCACAGTTAGTTTGCCCAAATTGCCACATTTACTCATAGCAGTCTTAGTCAATTAACTGGGTAGTAGAAATACAGTGGGATGCTCAATTTGATTGAGTCTGCATTTCTGTGTCTTACGCTCATATTGGAGGATTCTAGACTTGGAAATTCACTTTCTCATTTTGTGAAACATTTGGGTTGCATGAATGTGTCCTGTAAGGTCTCTCTCTTGCTTAGGTGGTTTGATAGAAGAATTTCTTTGATGCTGCACCCTAGGAGACTACACATATATAAATCTTATAATATTCCAGGTTTTGATATAGGTCATTTAGAATAAACTTTATGTCCTTGTATATGTTAGTACAGCAAACTGCCCTTTAGGTTGTAGCTCTTAGTCACATAATGACAGGCTTGTAAGTCTGACACTGTCCAGAAGAAAAATGATTTTGCTATTACGACTTGCAGAGTTGCTCTTGGGACTCAGTGGTGTGGAGCCCAGATGTGGGTATAAACACAATCCATGAGAGGATCCTTTTTCTTCCTCTGGAAAAGCTGGACAGCCATTGAAAAGGCATCACCAGTACTTCTTGCCTTTCTTCCTTTTCCATAAAACCTTTGTGTAGGAGCCAGAAAGGAATAGAGAGCCACAAGTATATAAACAGTTTGGAGTCTGTGTTTTGTTCTCTGAAATTAAAAAGATCATTGTACCTCTTCCTGCCTGCTGTTAAAGCACAGCTTGGAATCCAAAATTCGAAACAATGATTTTATATGGCTTTATATGGATTTTTTTTTTTTTTTTGCTAGAAATAAAAATTCAGGATAAGAACGTCTTTGTGTCTTGGAATACCCATAAGAAACAGTTTTTTATCCATTGCATGAAGACAGAGATGAGTGGATAGAAAGAGAACATGCTTTCAGAAAAAATCCTGGGAGAGTAATATAAAGTAGTTTGAGCTTTGTTTTTTAAATAAGAGGAAATTGGAGGAAGGTGATGGAGTTGGGCTAATGTAAATATATCGGAGATTCCTTATTTCTGAACTACAATGTAAACACTGTTGCTGAAATTCCATGAAACAAATGTGATGTTGACTCTCTCTTTGCTCTGTTTTCTAGATCCAGTAGCACCTTTTTTCCTGCTTCTAAAAGTTGCTAAGGTTTGTCTTAATTTCGACACACTGCGGGTGAGTACACCGGATCCATTTTAATTAAAATAACATCTGTTTTGTTACTGTCTTAATCAGGGAGTTGTAACTGAAGCTGTAATTACAGCTATAAAGCTAGCAGTATTTGCAAGATGAGACAAGTTTCCCCTGATGGGGCATTGTGGATGTCTTACCTACAAATTCATTTTTCCTTGATACCCTCTAATGGGAAAATGAGCTATTTTCTATGTCATTCCCTTCCTACCCAAAGAGAAACATTAAGGACTCTCATTCTTTATTTCTCTTAAAAACAAACAAACAAAAAAAAAACCCCACAAACAAACTAAAAAACCCTCCAGAAAACAAATACTACCACCAACCAAAAAAAACCCAAAACAACTGAGAAAAACCCAAACCAAACAAAAAAAAACCCACCCAACACCAGCGTGCCACCCCCCTCCCCCCCCTTGGTACATCTACCAAGCCAGCAAAAACAAGATATGCAGAGTGGCCTAAACACACCTGGCAACCACAGCATGAACTAGAGACTGAAGACTTCTGTCCATGTAACTGGCACATCAGAGGTAATAGAAAAACACAAATTTTCACATGCTGTCTGTCCTAAGTCCTTGCTATGTAGTCCTTGTCATATCTATACTTTGATAATGCAGAAGGAAAGAAAAATAACCTTTTTTTTTTTCCTTCCATCCTTTTGTATTAGAGAATATGGGTGAACCTCACTTCACTTCTTGCCCACACTGCATTAACTCTGCCCAGATTTTCATCATCTACTATTGCAAATTAATTTGGAGAAACAGTAGGTTTCTGAAAATGATCAGGCTTGTGATTATTCCAGCTTTATTTATGGAAGAGCAAAAGTATCAAGCTTGAGGAGAACAGAATTAGGTTTACCCCTCAAGCTCATTTGTTATAGTTCCATTTCCTTGCAAGTTGGTTGCATTGACCTTACTGAAGCTGAGGTTAAGTATAATGTTAATTCAATTATGATGGAAATAAGTCTTGGGTCCCTCTACCTGGGAAGTAACCTATTAATGACCCACTATCTGAAAAGGTTACTGCCATGAGAACAGTAGTTTGCCCACACTCAGCTATTAGCAAAAATGTAATGCCATCTTTTTGATGAATAAGGTGTATTTTTAGCATAAATGTGGCCATCGTTATTTCTTTTCAGCAGTGCTTTTTTAAAAGAGTATGATCAGCAGTTAAGTTACCCACATACCGTTGCAATCCTTCAGGGTTAGATGGCATAAAAAGTAAATAAATGCCTAATGTTTTCTTACAAAACACACTGGACTTTCTTTATTTGTCTATAAATCCATAGCATGCTGACTAGCTGTATAGGTATGTATAGCTGTATAATGCTCATAATCTGCTTCCAGTATACATGTAAATTCCTTTCCTGAAAAGTTCCCTGGGCATATGGTATTTGCAGCTGTGGAAGGATAGTGAGGGATCAGATCCAGTTTTCTCTTTGGTTGCAGCCATGTCTAACCTTTCTGAGATACAGAGATTCAGTTATTTGTATGTGCATTAGGTAGAACTTCTGGTGCCTAAAGAATCATTTTGTGACTTTAGACAAATCAGCACGATGCAGTATAATGTTTTGGAAGAAATTTCAGTAGGATTTCATGACTTAGTGGCTCTCAGAAGACCCATCACTGAGATTGTTTCCCAGGATCTCTGCAGGCAAGAGGCTGTACTAGGTACGCAAACAACGATTATACTGGAAAGGAAGCAGTGTTCTTTAACACCTCATCTGAAGAGGAAAATGTGAAAGCTGGAAAGCCATTTGCTTTCTGGAATTGTTCGTGTGCTTGGGCATCTGGTTTTGAAAGGCAGAAGTAGTGTGGAAGAACTGTTAATTGCTTTTGAAAAAATAGTAGATTACTCAGCAGAGCCTTCTCTACTAGCTGTTGGCTCTCGTCAATGATTTGGCCTATGTAAAATGTGTATAACTGTATTCCTCGTCCAGTCAAGTGATGGTGGTTTTAAACAATTGCCTTTTACTCATGCAGCAGTGTGGTAGGACTGAACACGTGCTCTGATACTAACTGTGGGCTAAAGAGAGGGAGCTGCCAGCTGAGGGAGAGGTGAACTTCTTAAGTCACATTCACTCAGTGGTTCACTTTCTGCAGCCAGACTCTGAAAGTCCATGCAGTGACACAAGCTGAAAGTCTGTGTAGAATCACATGTTAAAGTGCTCTTTTTTTGGTCTTGAACATGGTGAATTTAGCAGTCTGTCAGCTGAGCAGTCATAACAGTCTGTGAAATAATCTAAGGTTTCATTGAAGCGTGAACTTGGTAGTGTTACCTCTGCATAAGTGTGTGAGGCAAAGAAGTTGCCACAGCCTACCAGCTGCCACACAAGTTTATTAACCTGGCACAAGTCAAAAGTGGTCAGTCCAGTGTCCCAAAAACTTGCACCTACTGAATTTTAAATTTTATTTTTTTTTTTTAATTGCAGGAAACGACTGTGGGTCAGCATGGGCTGTCGGGATGTTCATGCAGCAACGGTACTGGCCTTCCTCAGTGGAACAGCCTCAGTAGCTGGACTCCTTGCAGCAGTTTTGCTTCCAAACTGGAGGCAAATGAGACTGTACACATTCAACAAGAATGAGAGGAATGTGACTGTTTATACTGGACTCTGGATCAAGTGTGCTCGCTTTGATGGGAGCAGAGACTGTGTGATCTATGACCCACAGTGGTACACTGCTGTTGATCAACTGGATTTGCGTGTTCTTCAGTTTGCCCTTCCACTGAGTATGTTTACTGCTGTCTCAGCTCTGTTTCTCTGCTTGATTGGCATGTGTAACACAGCCTTTGTATCCACTGTGCCAAACGTCAAATTGGCCAAATGCCTTGTAAACAGTGCAGGCTGCCATCTCGTGGCTGGCCTCTTGTTCCTGCTTGCGTGTGCTATTTGTCTCACTCCATCTATCTGGGTCATTTTTTATAACAATTATCTGAACAGAAAATATGAGCCTGTCTTTAGCTTTGACATCTCTGTATTTATTGCCATTGCCAGTGCTGGCGGTCTGTTTTTCACTTCTGTTCTGCTGTTTCTGTGGTACTGCGCGTGTAAAAGCCTCCCTTCTCCTTTCTGGCAACCCCTCTATTCCCATGCCCCTAGCATGCACAGCTATGCTTCTCAGCCGTATTCTGCACGCTCTCGCCTCTCTGCCATAGAAATTGATATTCCTGTTGTGACACATGCATCTTAAGAAGACAGAATTGTGGAAGCCCAGTTCAAACCGTGAAAATTGCAGGCTTGATTCTCTCTGCTGCCTTGCACTGAGCATAATCATTTGTAAGGTCAAGTTTCCAAGGTGCAAAGTAATGGAGACCCGAGTTCAGCAAGTCCACTGCTATTCTTGTGTGTTACTTTCTGACCAACATTTTTTTTTAACTCTGAGCCCACTGCAGACAAAATTGCTGCTAATGCTGGGACAGTACACTGACAATAGTATCCGTTCATCCTTCAGTTTACTGAGATAAAAGCAGGTTTGAACCTCTTTGATATTTGATAAGCTATTATTAGATTCTGATCCCATTGTAAAAGCTACATAGGTGGACCCTTGCACCCATGCATTATCCAAATTCAGACAGTGGAACTGGGTGCAGGGGCTTCACTGAGTTTCTTGTTCATCTAGACACACGTACTTCAAGATGTGATGTCTGAAAAGGGTATTTGGCAGACTAATTCGGTTGTGCAGCACTGTTCTTTGCTTTCCACTGCGCGCACAGAAAGCTACCCATTTAAGAACTTCTAGAATAGAATTAGTGCCAAATTACCCTTTCTTTTCAAAGTACCTATCAGAAGAAACAAAGCTGATGGAACTAATAATGTTCTTCTGTACTGTAATAGCATTTTGTGAATTACTGGAGGCTAGGAAGTTTTGTGAATTTTATTTCTAGTCTTTTTTTTAATGTTAGCAAATTTACTAGATCTATTTTGTGATTAAAACAGAAACCACTTGTATTTTTAAATTCTGTTTAGAAACTTGAATATATTATTTGAAGGCCATCTTAAAGATGGATTTTCAAGTAGGCTTTAAAGTGTTATTCAGTTCCGGAGAGAAATGTCACTCACTGGAAAATGGATTAGGAAAATGACGAAGAATTCTGAAGGCTGTGAAAAAGTCTTTTGGAACACTGTACACAAGCTGTAACAACATCTCTTTAGGAAGGGGTTTATAACCCTGGGGAGAGATTTTTAAATCTAGATGGATTTTGTTGTTTTGCTTTGTTTTTTTTAGTGTATATACAAGTAACAGTGAGCTTGTGTATTTTTCAGAGTCGATCTTTATGGTTGTTGGACTCTTCATGCTGTAGCTTATTTAATTACTGATTGAGACTTAACCTTTTCGGCCTTGTTCTTCAACACCTTTCAAGTTGAGCTATTTTAAAATCCAGTTATTTCTTACGCTGTCACCTCACAGCTGGAAACAGTTTCCTAATCCGGTTTTCTGAAAGATGAGGTTTTGTATAACTTGTGAGCTTCACCTTGTAGCTCTACAAGGATGAGGAGGGATTATAAATTCTCAACCTGGGATGTCTTTAATTTTTTTTTTTTTTTCTTTCTAAAATGCAGAGCAGGTCAGCCCTAAGGATCAAAGCTTTTCAACATGGGCTTTGCAATTACTTGGAAATTTGATGGCAGTGAGTTGAAGTGTTATAATTAAGGCAAGTTTTGCTCAGATTTGCTCAGATTTTGACAAACTGAGATCTTGTGTTTAAGACATCATTCCAGTAAGGAAAGTTACTTCATTTGGTGGCATTCTGGAGCTTACTGGATATTTGTATTTCATTAATCTCAGAACAAATTTCCTTTGCTGAAAAGTCAAATAGAGTTCTTTAATTCCAGTTTTGCAAACTCATCTGAGGTCCTGGAAGGCAGTTAATTCCCTTTTCCACGTATTAGAAATAGGAACAAATGCTGTGCTGGGCAAATCTTCTTCTGTTATCATCTGTGATAGAGTTTTACCTGGTAGACCTTGGACTTCAGTGGACTGAGTGAGGAAGTTGATCTCTGTCATAAATTCCCAGCACAGTCAGTAAAGTGACAGGCCTTTCAGGCAGAATGCTTGATTAAATTGCAGTCTAAGGAATTAACGCTGTAGATGATAAAGAATAGTTAAGGAGGTAGGCCTCTGAAGTTACATGAATTGAGTGCCCTGTTAGGTTTACAAGATAAGATGTTATATGAAGTATCTTTTTTTTTTAATTTATTTTATTTTATGTTATTTTAACCAGATCATGACTTGTATGGGATTAGAACATGTATAATGACATGGAAGCCAGCTCTTTTTTTTTCTTCAAAATTGAACTTTGCTTTACAGTTACTGTGGTTGTCAGACCTTAGATACTGTTACTGTTTCAGCTGCCCATATCCTTAGATGCTTTGTCAGGCCAAAGCAAAGGGACCACTGGTTTGTGATTTCACATCAGCTTGTTTCCCCATCACTCCAGTGTCTTTTCTTGATTGTGCCTTGCTTAAGTTATGAGTTGGCCAGTAAATGTTAGTTTACAGTCAGTGTCTGGTATGCTTTTTGAGCCTGAATTTACAAAGCATTTTGATCATTTTGAAGGGATGATGAATACATCTCTCAGTGACTTTAAAAGGAGCTGAATCATCAGCATTCTCCAGAGCAAGGAAGGCAGACGGGTAAACTGATGTTTTCTACAAGAGAGAAAATGCAGCCAGTGTTTTGTTCTGTACACTTTAAATAGTAGATGTGTCTGACAGCTCTTTTGTATTCTGACTTTGATTTTTATGCACTAAACTTCGAATCAGTATTTGCTGCTGCCTAAGCTGATAACTTGTTGCTTTGAAAATTGTGTCTTTCCAGAAGTTTGAGATGGATCTGAGTTACGAAAAGTGGAGATCCAAAAGTTACTGGATTCTGGCGTAGGTTTCAGTTAAGGTCATCTTTATCGAAAAGACTGTTGTATCCTGTTGTATCACTGAGGCACGGCTGTGTTTCTTTCAACAGTGCTGTTAATGTGATTTTCTGCTGGATCCTAAGTGAAATTAACTGCAAGTGCTGTGCTGTATTTCTCCTTCCTTACAGAAAGAGGTGGCCAACCTGTGACACTTGAGCCGAGTGCTACTCCAGCATTTCTTTTGCTAAGGTTACTGTCGTGCCCAGCAGCAGGGCTGGGGAGTGACGGGCCCCCCTGGATTTGGGGAGAAGATCTCATGTATCCCGCGTGTATCTCTGCTGGGGAACAGCGGCTGTGGAGTGGTTAGCACCCCTGCTTCTGACCAGCTTTGTTGTGTACGGGACAGGCACTCTGGGCCTTGAACACAAAAGTTTTGATTTGTGGCTCATGCAGTCAAAGGTTGGGCGCTCTGGGATTACAGAAATCTGTATTTTTTTCAAGTAATTCCTGTCCAACTTCTTAAATTGTGTTTAATTAGTGTTGGTTCTTTTTATGTGAAACAGAAGATACGTATTTTTAATAAAATGTTCTCATACAGATGCAGCTTATTTTGATTAATTTAGTGAAAATGGTAACTGCTAGGATATGAAAGACTACCTGTTTGATACTGATTGCCAGACTGTTTCAGATGCCTTAGCAGGCTTAAAATGTTGTGTATACTGCATTTTAACTCCCTACGTTCATAGGACTCCTGCTTTAAACAAAACAAAAAATTGAAACCAACCCTTCTCCCACCTTCCGAAAGCTTGACTGTTACTTATAATTTCCCTTTATTTTTATTGTAACCTAGTCTGAAGAAGTTCTAGGATTCCTCTTCCTTTTCAAAGAAAGAGAGTGAGTTCCCTTAATCTAGAAGATGCCTTTTTTTCTGCCTGCGGCCAGGCTCTGGTTCAGCCCCCACAGCAGAGCCAGAGTATCAGCGTGATGTGGCAGAGAGCGCAGTCCCCATCCCGTGCCCAAAGCCCCATCTCTTTCCCCGCCTCGGTTCTGCCGCTCACTCAAACATTATTCACCTAGTGCAACTTGCTAATCCAGCTGAAAACTGTCCTGGGTTAGTTTTTTCCTAGACTGGTAAGATTTGCATTGTGCTAGTGTCACACAAGAAAGGCAAAGGTGGTCTTCCTCCTGCCCTCTCCCCTCTGCTGTGCCGGCTGTGCTGTCAGCTGGACAATATGCTACTGCCTGACCTGTGACAGTCATTTGGGCACCCCAGGGACTTGTGACAGCCCAGAACGACAGTAGTGGTTAGTGACGCTTTGCTTGTGTGCTGCTCCTGGCACCTACAGCTCAGCAGCATTATGGTGAGTCAGTACCAAGCCTTTCCCCATTGCTGGGGCAAAATATGAACTCTTTGAGCGTTAGAAATGCTGATGCCATGGTGCAAGTTCACAAAACAACCTGGATTATTTATGCAGAATATTATGAGACTTCCTGGTAATTCCCCTGTAGATTTTTAGTATTCTAAACTGGCATTCTAGTAAACTGGGGTTTTATCTGTTTGGGGAAATAATGTTAATAAGAGAACAATTCTCATGGAGTATGCACAGTATAAAGCAGTTGCCAGCACTACAACTCACTTGAGGGGGTAGAAAAATTATTTTATCTTCTCTGCTTCTGTGGGTTCATTTCCTCCTTTGCTGTCAACTTTCAGGCAGGGTTCCTGTCTCCAAGAGCTGGTATAAACCTAGGGGCTAGTTGGGTGTTGACATCAATACTGCAGAGAACTCCGTTTCTCCTGAAACATGGCAATGCCTCATTTTTTTTTCATATTAAAATTCCTAAAAAACTACCCCACATATTTGTGCTCATTGAAAACAAATCTCTTGGCAGATTTTCCTGGTTTATTTCACAGGAACTGAGTGCACATATGTGGTTCAGCAGGTCTGTAATGTTACTTACCCCTTTGTGTATCCACTGAGCAGGCAGGTAACACACCTTAGAAGCAGCACAAACTTCTTTTGTATGTTTTCTGTTCCACTGCTTCATCAACATTTATCGAGCTGGACGCACAGAGGACTCATCAAAAGGTAAGAGGGTGGTTTCTGATTTCAAAATTGCTTTTTATCTATGTTCCAGTTAACTTGCTCATTCAGATGTTGGTCAGCAAGGGATGGGGGTTTTGTTTTTTGGGTGTAGCAGCTGCAAGGAGATGTAGAGGCTGAGCACCGGGCAGTAGTCTCTAGTCTCATTACCCAGTATTACAGCACTTCCACCAGTTAGAGGGTCCATAACCATTGATACTGCACTAGTTTTCTTCCCAAAGCCACAACATAGTCATAAACAAATACGTAAGATCATTTACAAATTCACGCTGGAGTTTAAATAAATACTGGCAGTTACATCAAAAATAAGTGTTTCCTAAAAAGGGTCCTGTTTTAGTGCCAGTAATTAAGATATTTGCATTAACTTATAGGTTAGATCTGAATGGTTTAGTGTTACCTGAAGACTCAGCATCATGGATGACTTATTGAACTGTTTTTAATCAAGTCAGCAACAATAAAGCACTTAGGTTTGTTCTTCTGCTGTGCTAAAGTGTCTTACAGACAGGTTGGATTTTCTGGCAAAAGTATCACGTCGGGAAGCAGCTGACAAGGAATTACATTCCCATAAAATAGGCTCCCTGGGAGGGCATTGTTTTTACAGTACAGCTGCAGATAAATCAGACTGCACAAATCTGGCTGCCTATTCTACTTGATTCAATTATATAATTACGTATCTCCCAGAGAAGTTCTTGAAAATACAAGCCCAGTCATCAAAATAAAATATTCACCTTTCTATTCTTTCTTAGGCTTGTAGTGCAGGCACCTTCAGATCTGACTTGTCATCTGCAACTCTGACCAAATGCTGCTGACCTCCACAACACGGAGGTGAGGACTTTTCCCTTGCAAATAATTCAGAGAGTCAGCCTAACAACTGGGAAACTGCTGGCTCTGCGAGCTTGGTGGCACGTAGGCAGCCACAGCACAGGAGGTTTCTGGCATTTCATCATAGCAAATACAGAGGTGCTGGTGGGGCCTTCAGCAGTTCTTTTGTCGGCTACCACTGGGTTACAGGGTTCATCATTCATTATGGTACATCAGTTCCATTTAGTTTGCATGTACACTTTCAAACACCATGTGTCTGCACCTTAATTAGCCAAGGAGTTATGAGAACCTTGAGAATCACTAATCTTAGCGGCTGATGCCTGTATGCCTCGCTTGAGAAGTCATCTGAGAGCTATAATTCTCAGGCTCTCAGCACTAATCTGCTTAGAGCTCCTGTAGGAGGGAGATCTTGAACACTGAGCAGAACAGAATTTGGTTGGACTAGATTTCACTACTCCTGGTAAGATTCAAACACGTCATGGAGACTTTTTGGCGTAAAACACAGGAAAAGAACTCAAAAAGGTCTTAGATAATATGAAAACAACACAATTTGATTAAATATGCCTCTGAGCTGCTTGTGTATGCATAATGAAGTACAAAAAAACCTACAGCATTTGAGTTTGACTCTCAAGTCAGCTAAGTAAATTACTATTTCTTAAGAGGAAAGGTTGTCTTTAACAGTTTCTGTCCCTAGAAAATTGTCCTTCTCTTCTAAGACCCTTCCTATGCATCATAGCTGCCTGTTTCATGGGCAGCTCCATTCCAAAAAGAATTCCAGGTTCTTCCTGCTTTCCTAGCACGGGTAAGTCAGTTCTCGGGGTCCAGATTTCCACAAGAGCCCTCCGGTAGGCAGCTTTTACAAGACAATGTCTCAGGCAACGCCTCCTTATTTTTGCAGGGTGCCAGAGATGGCATGAGGGTCTGTAGAAGCTTCTGTATGGTCTGTCATAGATAAGGCAGCCTACAAGTGGATTTGCTTGAATACTATTGTAAATTAGCAAACTAAAATTGATCGTGCTTCCTGGGTTGGCTCTGGAGATCATTTTTTCTCACAGCTATTTTTACAATGTTTTCATTTCATTTTGTTATTGATAATCCTCTACTGTAGCAATTTAACACATTTCCTTTGGTTTATTTCTGTACCCAGCTGTCACATCTTTCTCCTAACAGGAATAAACACAAGATCCTAATGGCTGAAAGCTATTCATTTGTTTTCTTGAGCTCTTTAAGTTCCCTATAAGGCTTGAATTGATTATTACCTTTCCTGAAAATATTGTCTGTGTCCAACCACCATGATTATTGTACCTCTTGCTGGGTAAGTGCATAACTGCAGACAGCAGAACTTCCTTTTCCATTGGCACAGGCATGGGGGAAAACACCAGAAATCTGCACATCGGGTATAAATTGAAAATCCCCATTCAGTATATAATCCAGTCATAAACAAATCTGTTACCCACTATCTAGAAAGGAAGAATCTCTAAATCAAAACAAGGATTTGATCAGACTTGTTTTGAAAATGCCTGGTGTGTGATGGCAGACATTTGTAAACTTCCAATCCTCGACATCCCGGTTCCATACCACAAGCAAGGAGATTTGGGCAGGATGATGTGTCCACTGGAACACTTGTAATGCTACTACATTCTGAAACAGTTGTTCTCTGCTTTGGATAGTACAGATGAGGCTATATTGTGAAACTAAGTGACATGGTAATCAACACTAACTTCTCTGTATCTTAATTTATTCAAAGGAGCAAGATATATCTTGCTACAGTGATGATTCCAGGTTAAGTAATTCTGGAATGTGTGGTGGAATGATACATTCCTGTTTTTAAATATGGGGATTTTATATTGCATATGAAAAAAAGAATAGAAGGGATTCCTTTTCTGTTATGGTGTAGAACTGGTACTGCACAAAACTCCTAGAAAATAACTAGATACAGATACAACTTCTTAATTAGCCTGAAACAAGGTGATGTTGAGAGGAAGATAGCTCAAAGCTACAGCAAGATGTTTTCATATTAGGAATCTTAAAATACGTTGTTTGATTCAAGGATCAAATTATATTAGCACTTTATATTTAAAATAATCAAAACAGAGATACATGAGGTATCAGTACTACAGTCTTTTCATAGCTATATATTATTCTCAACCAAATCCGAGTCTGCAGCAGGGGGAAGAAAAGCTGAAGTGCTGACAAGCCAGAAAATATGCAATATTAAGAAAAAGATCCAGTGTCCAACTGAAACAGTATGTTAACATTATGATATAGATTGTGAAATGCCCAGAGAAAATCTTGTCCCCTCACAATTTAGAAAATGGTCTAAATAAGAGCAACTGTGTGGATAAATACTTCTCCCATACTTTGGCATTAAATTGTTAGCTGATCTTTATCAGTTTTAACAAAATAAATCTTTCAGAAGTTAGATAAGTCCTGGGAAATAGCAGCCAAGAGATATTTTCTGTCAGTTTGTTAAGCCAATGTCTTAAATCAAGTGGAGTTATTCATTGCTGGAATGTAACAGGACCTCTGTTCTGTTGGGCTGTTATACTTTGTGACTCTCCTGTTTACCCTACCCCAATTGATTGTAGCTCTACAATGTCTCTCTTGCCCCAGCTATGACTGAGGAGATTTAATAAGACAAAGCCAATGATAAATACAGAACATGAAATTAAG